CCGCCGTAGTGAGTGAGCTGATACCTTTTATACCCGTGTCTATTGGATCGATTGGAAAGAGATCGTCTCCTTTGATCAACCAGAACATGAAGGAGAAAGTCAAGTTGGTGATGATCCTAATACGCCAGTTAGGAAACGTAAGACTAGTTTGTAAGTTTTTTTTTGTTTGGATTGGATTATTGGGTTTTCATGCAGTGGATTGATTGGGATTCTTCTTTTTGTAGGTTTCAGAAAATTAAAGTCGCTCTTAGTCCTGGTTCACATGGTCATAGGAAAACATCTGAATCTACTGAATAATTCGTTTTGATCATTATCAAACAGTTTAATTTAATCATTACAAATAAGATTGATCATCTTTTTTTCATTTGGTTCCTCTTTTCTCTCTCTCTTAACTCTTTGTGTTAACTTTTTCATTTTTTTAACAAGAATACAGCATTTTTTTTTGATTTTTTTTTTGGTTTTTGGTGGTATTATCTTTTTCTCTCTTAATTGCTTTAGTTAGGTTTTTGGTTCTTTTGGTATACATATCTATATACACGAATAGAACCATTTGTTTTTCTTTTCATTTTCTTTCTCTTATTTCCTCTCTATGCTTTCTTACACCGTTTTTTCTTTTAAACACTTAAATTTAAAGACACAATAATGATAATGAAGAACTGCTCAGAGTCAATGATGAAATATGTTTTTTTTCTTCTCGACTATATTTAACAATCAACTATAATCTCTAGTTAATGATTTCTTTGTTTTGTTTGTATGTATGTAGTTTTTTTTGTATATAGTACTCTACTCTACTCTACTTTTATATAATGTAAATGTGAAATGGCTTTTTTTATAATTTTTGAAGAGGTTTTTTTGGTTTGGAAACTTTTTTGGAAACATATACATTGTTCTTTTCTTTCGTTGAGGAGATTAGTATCACGTTTCTTGAGCAAAGAACAAACCAAAACATGCAGAACAACAAGGAACCTCGAGTCTTTGAAAGAGAAACATGAATAGGTGTAGGTAACTCGTTATTTACTGATTGGAATATCGAAATGTTAGGTGATAAGTAAATTTCCTTTGTTGTAATAAACGGGTCGGGTTTTGTATGAGTCATTTACTTGAGTGGTAAGATGACACATCATCGTTCCTTCTTCACCAAATTCCGTTTATTCATCGAAATTCTTCTTTACCATCTTCATTCTCGATAGTTCCAATCTAGTCTCTTCAAGAAATACTTTAGTTAATCGCATCTAAGGTATCATTTTTTGAAGTACCTATCATTGAAGTATCTATATATCATTATCGTAACTTGAATCCGTCCTTGAAAACCGTTTATATTAAAAAACGTCTTTTATAAATATAGACTTATCTCGGCTTAGAGAACTAGGGTATATCAGAGGATGGTGTTGACTATGCAGCAGCTGCAGATGTTACGATTCAGTTGGACCGGCTTAGAGAAAACTATCTCTCGTCCGGCGGTCCAAAAATTGTGTCTTGGTTGGAACTCTGAGCTTCTTTTGCGAGGATCATTCCGTATTTATCCCCGGGCTGGTACAGACATTGGTCTGAATTTGCCTTTCCGTTGGCTTTTCATTATGGGCCAGATCCAACCTACAATTTCAAGGATGAGGGTCCTGTCCCAACAACCAATCCTCGGAATGATCAAGACAGGTTGTTCATTTTCGCTCCCACTCGGGATGGAGAAAGCGACGAGTATCCTCCTGACGGTCACGACGGAGTTGTTTATCAAACTGGAGATTCAGAACAAACAGAAAGAGCTGAGAAAGCAAATGTTTGTCAAGAAGAGATTAGAGAACGTGTACCTGAAACAGGTCCTTTGAACGTTCCTTTTCAACCAGAGTTTTTGGCAACGCAAACTCCTTTTGACCAACAGTTACCTGAGGTATTACCCACTGGACATGTTACGGCAGAAGATTGAGTCAAAATGCTTTCTATGGCCAACAAGGATGCTCAAGAGACCATTCGAGCTTTATTGGCTAAGCAAGGAAAGAAGGGTCATCATCATCACCGTCATAAACATCAGGATGATAGTTCAGATTCTTTGGATTCAGATGATAAAGAGGATAAGAAGAAACGGAAATTTGCCTTTATATCAAAAGCGGTACCAGTATCCGACTCTGAAAAAATCTTTACAGAGGGTGCTACAAAATACGCCGCTGACGTCAAAGGTTATGAATCTAATATTGCTTTGGCAGTTAGAGAATTTAAAAGGGCTGGGAAGCCAGCTCACTTTCCAGAGGTTTTATCTAAAGAACTATTGCTGGGACAATTCATTGATGTTTGTCAAATCAAAGGAGAACTCTTTAACAAGAAAAAAGGAGACTTTTCTTATTCAACAACTGGAAAAGAAAAAGGATTGGAAGTTTCAAAACATCTCACCCTCGAAATCGACGATTTGGCTGAATGGCAGCATTATTTTTCAATTCTTAAAAAAGCAATTGAAATGGGTTTTCCGGATTGTAGAAAACAAATTTCGGACTATTCAGAGTACATCAATTCGCAATTTTGGTTGGGTCCTATTCAAGCCAATTGGAAGAACATCACCGACTACAATGCAGCTTTCAGATCTCAAGTGGCGGATAGGAGATATGTATGTTTTTCGGATTGGGATCATAAGGATTTTGATGTCCTTAAGACTCAATACTTTGGTAGTAGTTATTTCAACACTGCTCCTAATCTTGCTCAATCTGGTTCTTCTTTTTCAAGACCTTTGTTTCAAGCTCCTTTTTGTCAAAAAGGTGGTTTTCAGCAAGGTCCTGTATCAAAACCATATAGTGGTCCATCTAGTGGAGTTATTCCTTCTGGTAGTGCTCCTAATTATGTTGCGGATTTTAAACATAAGGGGATTCATAAAATTACGAGCTCGAAAGATGTGGGAAAGATGGCAGAGGAATATTGTTTTGCGTTTAATAGCAAAAGAGACTGTCCCCTTGGTGATAGCTGCCCCCGCTTACATTTTTGTGTTGGTAGAGTTCTCTGTTTCAATTTTTCTATTCTTTACGTGAATATGAGTGGAAATTTTTTGAGATAGATACTAATATTTGAGTTATTTGCAGAATGTCCGGGGATGTGGTAAAAAACACCGCGGATGCCATCACACCTGAAGAATATACGTCGGAGAAGTTCCTCCGAGGTTATCAATGGGATGGGACTTCTCCTTTAGGTTTTTTGGTGGCAATTGAATCGAGCAGATACACCGAGCCTTTTCCAGATGACCCTTCTCTGGAAGACAATGAGGACGCAAGATATGCTTTGAAGCAATATCATTATCTATTTAAAATCTCTACTCCATTTAAGATTGACAAGATGGAGCAATTATTGAAACATCATCCGAATCCAGCTTTTGTGAAATCAGTGCTGAAAGGTTTAAAGGACGGATTTTGGCCTTCCTCGTTGAAACCAGATTCAGAAATAATTGACGTCCCTAATCACAAAACTTGTTTCGATAATCAAAAATTGCTGGAAGATCAATGTGAAGAAGAAATTCAAAAAGGAAGGTATTCAGAAGAATTTTCAACTTTGATCCCAGGCATGAAAGTTATTCCGTTGTTGATGACATCTAAGAAATATTCAGCTAAAATGAGAGTTTGTTCAAACATGAGTGCAGGAAATCCTTCGCCTAATGATTTGATTGATAAAGACAGAATTAAGGTATCTTATGATTCATTGAAATCGTGGATTCCGTTTTTAATCGAATTAAAGAAGAGATATGGTGAGGTTACCATTTTCAAATCCGACGTCGAAGGCGCTTTCAGGACCTTGTCGGCGCATTTACAATATTTGATTGGGGCTAAGTGGGCCCAATTTGATCTCCTCAAAGGTTGGAACCTTCCCACTACTGACCACGTCATAAGGAAGATTGCTTGGGCCGAAACCGTCGCAATACATTTAGGCATGTTGATGATCAGCGTCTTGCAAGAGGTTGGTGGGAAACGTTTCTTGGTGCTTACAGACAATACTACCTCACAATTGGCGGTTGAGAAGAAGCGCTCTGGTGATCGAGCTGTGAACATGGAGTGGAAAGCTATACAGCGACTGCTGGTATCGCTACATGCAGATATGGTTGCCCACAGGGTGAAGTCCGGTGATAACTTGGCGGATCTGTTGTCGAGAGGTCGAGATTTGAGGGATGTTGACGATCAAGTAATGATCGAGATGCCGATTGACTTGAGGCAGTTTGTGAAACAGGTGGTACTTGTTAAGAAGACGTAATTCATGCCTTTGGCACCAATTTGCTGTCCCGGGGCTAATACCCGTGGATTGTTGTCCCATCCAACCCGTTGTGAGTTGGCTTGAGTTTTGAGGCGCAGCGCATGCAAAAGTCGTCCTCGTACCATCTGTTTTCTCCCAGTTTTTAAGAAGACGCCATCCTTCTAGCGAGTAGCGACTATTGCCCCCAACATCTCTTATCTCGTATATTGAGACCTAATTCTCTATCTCCCGAATGGAATTTTCGCGAGGGAGAGATGGGATCGACTCTACATCAGATGACCCGGTCAAGAAGTACCTCCTGCAGGGCAGTTGGGCGGAAACCACGTTGAAACACTACAACACGGGTGTTTTGAAACTAATGGCGTTCGCTCTTGAGAGGAGGATCCACCGTGATTTGCTATTACCAATCCAACCTTCAATTCTCTACGACTTTGTAACCTGGGCCAGCCCTCAGCTTATATCAGATAACTCAACGCTAGGGACCCCTCCAATAAAATCGACGACAGTGCGTAGCTATTTATCAGGCATCAAGGCCTGGCACTTGTTGCACGACTTTGACTATCCACACCATGCTACGGCAAGGGTCGAGATGATTTTAAAGGCCGCCATGAAACTCGAGCTTCTGAAAGCGCCGAAGGCACCCAAGAACCCGGTGTTGGTGCAACATATGTTCAGACTCTTAGAAAAACTCTCGGGCGGCACTTTGGAGGAGCAGGTAGCTTACACCGTAGCCCTAGTGGCCTTTTGGGGGATGGCTCGGTTGGGAGAGTTGTTGAAATCTTCAGTCAAAGCAAATCAAGTCAGGGTGAAAGACGTCATTTGGGAACCATCATTCAAATTTTTGAAAATTCACATTTGGGAAGCTAAGACAGCTTCCGTGGGAGAAGTGCAAGAAATTCACTGCAAACGGCAACGATCACTTCTTGATCCGGTTGGCGCCGTACGACGACTCCTCATCAGCAAGGGCGCCACAGAAGACGATAATCTGTTCTCCTTCCCGACCAACGGAGAACGGGTGACTTTAACCAAAGCTAGAGGTCAGAAATTATTCAACGACGCTTGGAACGAGGAAGGCGCCGACAGGCTGACCGGTCACTCCTTCAGAGTTGGGGGTGCATCGCTACAATGGAACCTGAATACACCTTTAGAGGAAATCGTTGCAGCTGGCCGGTGGAGGTCCAAAGCTTACAAGTTGTACATTCGAGAGTATACAGAGCGCGAGCTACAAAACACTATCACCTTGTTGTCTGAGCTAAAATTGTCAAGTTGATTGGAAGTAATTGAACGGTGGTGTTCCCGTTGCAATTTAGCTGTGGTTTGGGGTGGTTCACGTGGTGCACCTAAGAGAGTTTGTGAGCAGGGCTGAGCCCTTCCCACATTTGTTGCAACAAGACCGTTCTCTTGGTGGGTGGGCGATCCAGTCCAACGTTGATGGGGGTTCTCAGGCTCAGGACAATGCCCCGAGTCGGGGGAAGAGCTCCCCCATCTACAGTGGCTAGTGGTCCTACCCCCCCTGCTCCTTTTGGGCAGGGGGGGCCCCCAAGAAACCAATACCTCTCTGTAACGGAGAAGCGTTGGTTTGCCTAGGGCACACCAGCTTAGTTGAGAAACTATGTCTACATACAATATGCAATTAGGAAGTTACACCTTTTTAATTTGACCACATCTAGATAGCGTGAAATTTGAGAATGGATCCTCCGCCACCTCATCTACATGTCCAGCTTGACATCGCCTACCTCCATCAAACAAATACCGACGAAGCTTTCAAGATGATGAGAGAATGTGATTTACCATTCGAATTGATACTTGATGGAACTGTCTACTGGTTGCGCGCACGTGGTTTTTGGAATGGAACCCATTATTGGTGTCATGTTGTGCGTACAGTAGGAAGCCTGACGGGTGTATGGGCCCACAATGATTTGCAGAATGCTGGAATTGCGACGTTGATCTCTACTGAACTGGAAGTAATTGGAGGGCCTTTACCCCATACTTCATGGGTGATGTATTCCCGAACTCCTACGGAGAAAGAGAAATCAATCATAAAAACTGCCAATATCAAGATCAACATGTCTCTTGGAAAGAAAAAGGAGGTATTAGTTTGACCGTTCTCACAATTGGTTAGTGAAGGAAAAATTGAAGATAAACAAGACGCAGAAGGTGAGTAACTTTGCATCATTGTATCATGTCACTTTGTTGAAGCTGATTCATTGAACCATGTATATTTCAATAGTTATATGCTTGTTATGATTGGATCTCATATTTTAAAGCTCATGTGGGAAAGCGCAAAAACAAACAAGGTGACCAAGGTGAGGCATCTTTATTTGCTTTAGATTTGTTCATTCTTTGTAATGAACTGCTTTTCTTTCATGTAGAATCAGTTAACAACGACAAGAATTCTGAAGATGATGAGGTTCTGTTGACGAAAAGGAAGAAATTGACCAATAGTAAGAAACCACAAACAGGTGAGCATCTTGTTCAACGGGTTTGGATTGTCTTTTGGATATTTGTTAACCTCTTGTTTTGGTCTGCAGTAGATAAAAAGAACACAAAAAGGAAGGCACACAAAATAGAAGAAGAGGAGGTGCCGGTGACCAAAAGGAAGAAACAACCACTAGGTGAGTATTTTGATAGTCTTTCGCAGTTCCTATTGCTTATTTTTTTTCTTTAATTAATCCGGTCAATATAAAAACGAGACAAAGGAAGATACTGAAAGGCAAAGAAGAGGTGGAACCAATTGAAGTGGTTGCAGCTAAAGGTAAAGGTGCGAAAAAAATAAAAGGGTGGAAGGGATGGGCCGTTGTGGAAGAGGAAGAAAAGGAGCAGGATTCAGATGAGGCCTTGCAGGAGGGTGAGGACGAGTGCAATGAGGGTCAAACTGTACGTAAGTCTAAGCGTGTAAAATTTAAGAGGGCGTAAAAGGGTAAAGTTTAGGTCCTTATGTTTTAGTTGTTTAATTTCTAGTCGCTCCTTCAAATTACATTTGTTTACCGTTTACCTTTTATTTCCTTTTAGCATCAGTTCTTCTTGCATTTTATTTGCTATTTTTTGTGCGCGTAATGTATATGGTAGATTGTACCAGAATTTTTTTTATTTTTTGAATGTTGAGTATGAATCACAAAATTTGATTTTGCGGAGGTCAATGTGCCCTTTTGCAATGTTGATTTTGAAACATTTTTCACAGTCTTTATGAACCAGAAAATAATGATTGCAAAATTCATCAATACTTCGAGATTTTACAAATTTACAAGCTTTCTTGTTTGAGCAGAATAAAGTCCGCAAAATCACGACCGCAAATTTCTATTATTAGGCAGCTGTGGCCTAATTTTACGGTCAACAGTTCACAGCCTTTTTTTTGCGGACTTTCGAAAAATGGGAATGGTCGTAAAAATAAATAGTTATCCGGGAAAGATGGACTTTTACAAACATCAAGCTTTCCGGTCGATAATGACCGCAAATGCATGATCGCAAATTTCTTACACCCCCTTCTATTTGTTCAATCTTTTTTTCAATAAAAACACAAAAATTACATGGACTCTGATTGAATTACGAGCTCTACAAAAAGATTGATTTGATTCACAGAGACATGAGAGTTTTGATTTCATAGAGAATCACCCCATATGTCTGGCTTTTGTTATTTAATTGGAGGGATTGGTACCAAAACATTCAAAGCTCAATGATATAAAAAGAGCAGAAAGATGTTGTTTTTAATCATCTCCCATTTCTTTGTAATTGAAAAGAGTATGAGTTGATTCAAAACAATCCCAATATTTCTGGCATAGAGGTTTGTGATTTGAAAAGGGCAACCAAATCGGAATTCATTATAGCTTGTAAACAAAACCAGGTAGCTCTGAACAGCAAAATGTATTAAAAATTGAAATGATTTCTTACACATTTGATTTGATGATGATGACTTTATAAAATGATAACTCTCAAACAGAAAAAGAAAACGGAAAGAGAGAGAGTCTTTCATCATTTAAAGCTTACAAAGCCTGGAATTTGAGACAATTAGCAATCTTCTCAATCAATTTAGGATACAAATGAACTATCTCAATATGAGAATAACATCATGTTTTGATCTACAAAAAATAGAAAGAAAATGTAGAGCTATGCTTGCTCCCTGTGGTCATTTAGAGTTCTATGTGGTTATTTACAAGTCACAATGTCAAAAGGATAACTGTTATCATTGATTAGAGATTCACATCTTTGAACTGGACCTCTGCCTTTGTCTATCCATTACTCTGGAAACAAATTTTGACAGAAACCAACAATCTTTTGGAAAGCATGATAGACAGACAAGTATGAATTCAGAGTGTTTGTTGGTATTAGGAAGTGTACCATCCCAAAGCTGGCACAGTAAATAGCTTTTCTTCAAATACCAATCAATTAATTTCCAATCATGTCTAGGATCTAAATGACAATAGATTGACTCATCTTGAATCTTTAGCAAGCTGGAGTACTTGACGTAGAAGAGGAAAAAACAAATTGTAATCTGAAAGAACAGAAACATGGGTATACACAGCCTCCAGGTATCAGTCACTGGCAGGCAAGAGACTCCTGTGAATTCAGGATTCTTCCAGAGTAATTTGAGCTTGATTTGAGATACTTTTCAACAAAATCTCAGAGGTATATCAGAATTACTTCATTCTGTAGTTTGCAGCCCCATATGGAAATTTGGGATAACCAAAATGACCAAATGATAACTCAAAACCAATGAACTTCGAGCCAATGATTACTGAGTACTATGGTCTGTCATGATCACGCTTGCCTTTTTGAAACAAACTTCCAGGATGGAGAGGATTGAAGCCAAGCCCCAGATCAAAACATGAGGTGAAAGCCAGGAATCATGTGCCAAATCTGATCCAAGGAGAATCCTGGACCTTATTGTTTGATACTGAAGAGAGGTAGAACAATTTCATTATTTCAATAGTTGTAATCCAATTTCAAGTTAGCAAACTTTACATATGTGTGTGGATGGCCCCATCTGGTGTCACTGTCAGTAAATATTTCTACATCCACCAAATAAATTCTTGGAGGTGACTTTATGTATGTATTCCCAACACTGATCCCTTTGCGCTTCTGGAGCTCACTTGTGATCACCTTATCTTCAGCCTCACAGTCACAGTCCACATTTGTAGGCATGGAAAGGCTTGTTTCAAGTCCCAATCTTAGGGAAAGCAGACAAGAAGAGACAAAAGAAAAAAAAAGTTTCTGATATCCACAACAAAGAATTGGAAGAGGGTAATGTAGGCAATCATGAAGAAATCAAAAATCAATGTGCAAAGACAGATAAGCTCTACAAGAACACATTACAGGATGAGATGTCATCCTTAGTTTACCTGGAGTAGGAAGAGTCCCCTTCTTTGGCTTTGTCACTGGATCTATCATGAGAGTCAACTTATCAATTATTTCTACCATGATCTTAACCCAGTGATGCCATTTCTTTTGGACAGACCCTGGTGGTGCACTTATACTGTAGCATGATCTGCTATAATTCAAGGTTCATCAAGAGGAATTTGTGTTTCAGCTTGACATGCAAAGCAAAACCAACAAAAACCTTGATTGATTTAGGCATTGTTGAAATTCAATGGTTAGGGTTACATATCACATCAGGAGCAGCCCAAAAGTTTAGAATTGATGTGGTTCAAGTGTTTCAGGATAATTGCTTCTCATTTGAATTCTTTCGTGGTTGAGTTCGATTCCTTATCCTTGGCTCAATTTTGGCAGTGCACTTCAGTCAATGGATCTTCATAGATTCATTGATTTATTTTCAAACACTTCATTTCTGACTTGGCAGTCAGCTTTTATCACAACATACTCTCTGTCTCTCTCTATCTTATTGTCTTTCCCAAGAGTATTGAAATATTTTCGAAATATTCTTTTGATAAGAAGAGTCTCTTTTACTATAAGAGAGATATATAAGCAGATAGCAATGGAAAACTTATCCATGAGGCTAATCTAAGCCTCAACTTGTAGAGTTGACTTGGTTGGCCCTTTTATGAGAATTGTGTTTCTTGGTTCATCAATCATCTTACCTCAGTTGAAGATCAAGTAATAACAATGAGATTTGAGGATATAATAATATCAATTATCCTGCCATTTCCATTGACAGAGCTTCAAACAGAAGCACTATGAATGAAAAACTTTGTGGTGACTTGTGATGTATTGATCTGAAACCCTCTTTAACTTTAAGGATCTGACCCAGTAGGCCCAAAGCCTTCTGCAGTTGGCAAAAGTTGACCCTATTTGGGTAGGATTAGCCACAGCCAAACCAATATTTTCAATAGTAACTCAGGACATCAGGTTGATCCAGATCTCACCACAGCCAAACACGCAGAATGTGGTTGATCTCTTGGTGTCAAATTTTCTTCAAGCCATAAATCCACTGTTTTTTGCTATCCTCTTGTTTCCCCTGGCATTTCCCACAATCATCAATTGCCTCATTTACCAGATCAATAGTATTATCAATTGCTCTCTCATCACCACTTGCTCCAGCCAGATGTCTCATGACTTCTGATGCATAAATCTGGGCCCCAAGAAGGCCGCTGGCAAGCAATTATTGGTGTGGCCCCACTTCAAGACTATAGATGTTGAAGGTGCTCAAAGTCGTTTCTTTCAAGTGATCCTCCTTTATGTAGATGGAAGTGCCTGGTGTTTTCAGGCAACCAGACAAAAATGGGTCCACCAAGGCTCTTAGTCACCACCTCAAAAACATAGCATAACTTCAGATGCCACCTCCTCACTCAGGTGCCATGAGAAATTCTATCTGAAGCAGGACACTGAAATATGTACATGTTCTTGTAATGCCACTGGTCTTTTTCAGCATACAAATTGAAAAGTTTTTCTTGACAACTGTTCTCCAGCATAGCCCAGTCAATCAAGAATCAGTGACATCAGCTCTTATATGCTTTGCTGTTGAGGAAGAGCTCTCTTTTACTGCAGTTGCCCCAGCTTTCCAGAACTATGTTGAGTTGTGCAATCCAGCTGTCATTCCATACATGATTGAATCCACTGTCTTGATAGAAATTCTCATGAACCATTTTCAGAATATTTGCAAAGACATGATCAAGATTGTTTCTGCAGAATCTTACATCAGCGGCTGGCAACACCTGGACTTCTACCTACAACCAGCCTACCTTTGGGCGCACTGCTCACTGGATTGATAAAAATTTCTAATCACAGGCCATCATTGCAATGAAACAGATAATTGACTCTACCCTTTCATTTTGTTGAATTAATGTATTGTGTGCTTCAAAGGAACTTGATTGCTGAATATCAATAAATGTATCGAGGACTGCACTCAGCCATACTCTGTTGCTTTCTCATTGGTGAACAGCATGCAATTAGAATATCTTATCAGCTTTCGAGCAATAACTTGAAATCATTTTTTTAGCACCAGTGATTATTTGTTGAGGCCATACAATGTGTAGATGATCCCAGGTGAGGTTTTCAGTAATATGTAGAGGAGTAAGGTTTGAAATATATAAAAGCAAAACAACAAAGCATGGTACAGATTGCACAGCAATCGCCCCACCTTTGATTTGGCAAAGAAAAACTTCCAATCTTTGAGACAGACAAGATATGGGAGCTCTTGGTTGATGGGTACACCATTGTAATCCCAGTGTACTGTGCCGGCTGGCCACCTAATTTCTAGTTTGAGCATAATGATACCTCACCATCACCGGAATACTAACCTAGAATTGCCTCGCCATCAATAGTTTCTTTATTTCATTTTCACCTTGTATTGATTACAGTTATTCTCAGGTTTGAGTGTTTACTCTCATTGCTCTCACTAGTTTTCCTGGCGAAGACCTGATTGAATTTCTATCAAAGTTTCACAGCTTTTGAAGACACAATCCACGAAGAAATTTAGGATACATATGTCATATGCTACATTGGAAAAGTGATGAGTCAGACTGAATTGCTGTCCTGGATTGCTGTCTAGCAGTCTCAATCAAGATTCAGATGGGTCGAAAATCCATCAGGTGTTTAAGAATGTTTACCATCGTCTGTTTAGTGCCTCATTCGGTGAGCAGGACAAACACTGAGGCGTGCCATAGCCAAATGTTAACAATTGTTTATGTTGACCAATTGTTTATGTTGACAATCATCTCTGAATCCCAAAGTCAACAAACAAGTTCTTTGAACGTGTCTTTCATGAATCACAGCAAACTTGTGAAGGTAGCGAGGCACGTGGACTCCAAATGGGTATCTTGTGATATGTTCACATCTCATCGTTTTTCGACTTTAGATTTCCCTGCCTGCAAAGACTACCAAATGGGTTCCTGTGTCGGTCAGCTCTCTTCGTATAATTGGGGACCGGGCAACAGCTCTAGACTGACTCACTGATCATACATCCCAAGGGTTTACTCGTGAGTGAAGAGCTTGAAGACTTGGCTCGAGCGCCTTCTATTTGTCCTCAAGATTCGATTCACGAGATCAAAACAGTCCCCATTATGAATCCTTTGTAAGAAAATTGGTAACTTACAAGGCGAGATGACAAGCATCATCCTCCACAAAGGCAACACATCCTCATCTCAAAGGATCAGATCGCCAATCTTTGATCAAAACTACATAACCAATTCCATCTTTCTTTTTGCTCGCAGCAAGTTTAACCTTTATGCAACAGCATAGCCAACCTCTTCTAGATTCAGGACCAATGTATCAGAAATCTCCATGTCCCAAATCTCATCTCTGAAGATCAGTCTGAAAACAACAATTCGAGAATCGCCTGTGAGATTAATCGTAATGTTCACCACTGGCACACACACGCAAGGTACTTCTCAAGCATCATTCACCCATTTCTGGAAAGCTATAAAAGCCCATGTTTGTTGATGGGTTGAGTCTCTCCCCATCATCATTCATTCCTACTTTGAGTGAAGTAAACCAATAATCAGGTGCAATCATATAATCTCTTGTTTCCCATACTTCACTCAAGACTATCTTCTTCATATATCTTTATTATTGTGATTCAGACTTCTCAATTCCTTTACTAATTTTATTTTTTGGTTAATAGAATACCAAACTGTCAATAATCCAAATCCAACCAACAAAAATCCCTTAATTTTACCAAGATGTTGTTCAAACAAATGTTTGCCTTTGTGCTTGCAATGTTCTCGGGTAAGCCTATCTCTTAGAATCCAGTTCAAAGCCTACACGTTAAGTGGAGCGCTGATACATAATCTTTGAATATTTTTTTCAAGTGTTGCAGATTGATCAAGGAGTCATAGCTGCCCCCTTGGAAGCCAGACAAGGGTGTGTCAAGTAAGTCTTTCCTTTGATGATTTTCGATCGCATCCTTCTCATCAACTGACATTGTCTTGATAGGTCTAGCTCAGTTGCGCGTAATTTGAAATCGATGTTGGAAGGTCCCACTATCCTTGCTCGAGACTCCTCTGTGAAGGTAAGCTTTTGATCCTGAATGATAGCTCCAATCTTTCTGACATGCTACCTGTCGATTTTTGTCACTTTCACCTATGATCTCTTTGTCTCCTGTTCAACTTTTTTCACAATCATCTTCAGACTCCAACTCCAAATGAGCCTAAACCTGTGAAACCAACCACTCCTAAGACTCCCAAGAAACCAACTACTCCTACGACTCCCGGGAAGCCAACCACACCTACCAAGCCCGCGAAGCCAACTACTCCTACGACTCCCGGGAAGCCAACCACACCTACCAAGCCCGAGAAGCCAACCACACCTACCAAGCCCGACAAGCCAACCACTCCTAAGACTCCGCAGAAGCCAACCACAGCTACCAAGCCTGAGAAGCCAACCACTCCCAAGACCCCGGCCTATCCTACCAAGCCAGAAAAGCCTGAGGAACCAACTAAACCTAAACCCGCCAAACCAACTACACCACGAACCCCGTTTTTGTTGGAAATCGGTGGCAAGGAGGTTAACAAGACTTGCCGCTGGGGCCCGGTTCAAAATGAGCGGAGCACCCAGCAGGGACCGGGTTCTTGACGGGTAGGGTCTGATAAACCACATACCGCTGGTCAACCACTCTGTCAGCAGTTGGCCAGCGGCATTTAATTGACCAGCTGCAGACCCGCAAGTTTGTCCATGATGGTTGATGAGGCAGCGGTTAAAACTCTTATCCTCAACGGTTTTTTGACCTTGATTCAATGAGTTGCAATAACCCCTTCAAGTGGTTGAGCAGACACAAACGTTGGGTCAAATATCCTTGTTTGTAAATTTTAAACCTCCAAATTTAAATGACAAATTAGTACTCAAGGATTCTCTTATCATTTTGATTTGATATCAGGTGTTGTTCCTTCTGAACACTTCAACCTCAAATTCAATCACCAATTACCGATTCATCTCAAATTCACTCAACTTTACTTCATCATCATCAACAGGTTTGGTCAGTCGTCTTCCCCCTCTTGAATATCTTACGCATCAATTACTACCACATCTTGTCATCATCATCACATTCACGGGGTACACCTCAATCACATTTCTCTCTCATATCCAAATATCACCCTTTTGTCTGTTCTTGACACATTCTCATTGATCCGCTTGGGGGGACGTCTCTGCGGGGTTAGGGTAGGGTCTTGACGCAGCTCAGCAACACTAGCAACACAAAAGAAAGAACTAACAACACAAGACACCAGCAATCACAATCATAACACTCAATTATAAACAATAACACCTCTTTAGATTTATCAACTTGCAATTCAATAACAAACACAAACACAGAGGTCTTTCTATAATTATTACAGACACAATAGCTAACACATGAACACTCGTTTCTAACTCGATATCACAGACACTTGAATATATGATCACACACAGATACAGTTTTATCAGGTTATTTACTATGTATGTGCTCTTTTTCTATCCTATTTGTGCTTCATTTCCTCAGCTAATAACTCTTTTCTATCTATCCTTCTCCTTGCTTCACGTGTAAGTTCATCCTTGTATCAATTCTAATCACCCCCACTTCTAGCCTACTCAACTGAATCTCAATTTTCTTCTTCATCTTATAGTACAAATTCCGATCTCTAGCTTTAATTTGACATGCGACTACAATTCCTTATAGGTTTGAACCCCAACCAAGTCAACCTATCCACCATACAACTTTTGATTTCACTATCTTTTGGTCCCACACTTATCTGATCTGCTTTTCGCTTTCGAGTATCGTTAGCTTAACTTCAACTGTAAGTTTCTATCTCATTTTGTCTTCCTTTCTTGTATCTCTTCTTCACTAACTGTATCTTACTTTTTATTTCAACTTTTCTTCGATTATTTAGCTTCCTTTTGCAATCTTGCCTTCCAAATCGATTCGCTACCACTACGCATGATCTCAGCACTGTTGACCGATCTTGATCCAATCGGTTTCTTGGTTCAAGCTTAGTTTTTTTCTTATACCAAACCATGATACGCTTGATCAATCTAGTTTCTCATGAGTCTGTTTCCCTACTATATCAACTTTTATTTGATTAGGCTTCTTGTACGATTTGTATGTTTGGCTATGATAAAAGATTTTATGTGTTTATTTGTCTGTATTCAGAGTTGTTAATGATGATGAAGCTCAAGTTCTCAATTTAAATGTGGATGATAATGAAATTTTAAGTCTTCAATTTAAATAAAGCCTTGAGCCAGACCTTGGAAATGCCTTTCTGCAAGTCGCTGCTGACCAACAGTGAGGAGAGCAGGACGTGTATAAAATGTACAGGTTGAGAGGGATTCTGATCAGCACACCCGTTTTCAGACCATCATTAAATATGCTCACGAAAAAGGGTGCAAAAATACTGGTTTTCAAACCGGTATCAAAAATACTCAAGAAAATGTGTTGTTAAAAACTTGGTTTCCAAACCGGTATCAAAATAACGGTTTGAGAAAATAAGGGTCTGCAAACTGGTTACAAAAAAACCGATTTAAACCGCGCGGTCTAAGCTCGTTGTGTGAACGTTACCTCTCAGCAAAGAAAACCGGGAGAACAACCGGGACCAAACCCCGGTGGGAAAACCGTATTGGGGGGTTCGTGGTGTACCCCTGAGACTCCAACCAAGCCGACCACACCTAAGAGTCCAACTGAACCTACCAAACCTAAACCCGCCAAACCAACTACCCCTGAGACTCCAACCAAACCTACAACTGATGTACCCAAGTACCCTACCCCTCCTACACCACGAACCCTGTTTTCGTTGGAAAACCGGTGTCCGGGGGTTTTGTAGATTACCCGCTAACAACCCGGTGAATCCTTGTCGGGTTCTCGGGCTTTGATCCGGGTTCCGCGCGGTGAACTTGAATACAGTTGTTCAACCACTAGCCAAGTAGTTGAACAACTGTATCCAAGTTCACCGCGCGCAAGACCGTGGTCACCGTCAACCAGTGTGCCTACGAGTTATAGATTCCCGCTGGGAAACCTCGGCTTCAACGGTTGTATGATCGTTAATGATGTTTTACCCTTCCAATGAAGGAAGATGTTTCATTGAAACATCGAAATTCCCTTCAAACAAGGAAGGCAAAATCTCATCGTTATACTTTTGCTTTGATCAAAGTAAAAGTTATCATCAATCAACGTGAAGGTTTATATTTTTATTCCAACATTGTTCCACTTTCCCTTGGATCAAAGGACAAATTGTCACATTGGTGTGCTTTCTTTGAATCAAAATCAAACAATCCCACTCGATGGAATCAACAAATGGCCTTGACAAATGTGACTAATATTTGACTATCTTGATATCACTGACAAGATGACTAACACGGTGATAATTAAGGTTTTGTTGAGACTATTGATGGCACAACCTCATCGTTTACTTGTCTGGCTTGTCCCTTGAGCCGACCAATGACATTGAATGCGATAACAAAACACAGGAGATCTGCTAATCATAAGAAGAATCATAAGATATGGTTTGCAAAACAACAAGAATCCGCCACAAGAGTCGAATCACCAAACGACAACCATGCAATGGATGTCGAACCTGACCCTGAAATTCAGGATGAGCAGATTCCAGCGTACATTCCTAATTTTGTTGATGCGGAACCAGATCAGCAATACTTAGAAGATCGACAAAAAAGGTTGTTAGACTCATGGACTAAGGATTTGTCAGGTCTTTTTCGATCTCCAGCATCAAGCGTCAGCAACACCACCAATAATTCAATCAATGAGGCTGCAAATTCAAGTCATACACAACATTCCGATTCTGGAAAGGAAGAATCAGTAGGCTCAGACGAACAAAATCTCCATGACGACGTCATGGATAAAGAGGATTCGGAATGGGCTCCTTTCTCAAATCTTGAGGCACGTCTGATCCGCAAAGCAGCGAATTATCTTTCTTCTGCTGACTGAGATTGTTGACTTCTTCAGCAAATGGTTGGGTCGTGTATTCTTGGTTCAACAAGGACTACAAGGTCTGTATTGGATTACGAGCGATTGCGCTGCTTCATTGGCCTACTTGGAGCGAAAATCCCGGCGTATAAGACAGTTCAATCCCTTCGCCGACGCCTTAAGAAACAGTTTGATTTCAAAGTTTGTGAAAACCTGAGCCCGCTGGAAAACCGATGCTTTGGATTGACAGTAAAGGCGACTTTGAGACAGGCAAGAATCAATCATATCTTATCCGAATAAGCAGGTTAATGATATTCACAAAATCATTTCGTAGGAACTTGCAAATCCGTATGTCATGGATTTCCTCGAGTTCATACCTGAGCTGCCAGATGCGACTTCAAAGGTCCATCGCCTCTCCCAGTCAAAGAAGTGGCGCGAGGAGCTTGATGAAGATGTTAGAGTTCAGATGGTTAAAGAAGGAAATACTCATTTTTACTTGTATGAACTGGTTCAACTGCAATCTAAAAAGATTGTCATTCCTTTCTACTTTTATAAATCTGGTGACGAAGTTCTGGCAAAGTGTGTATTTGCAGTCCAAAAGTTTGTAAAGGAAGGTACAGCTTCAAAAATTAGAACCGAATTCAAACCTGTCTCTACATTCGATTCACCTTCATTTTTGACGATTAACGTCAAGACTTTCTGGAGGAACTTCGACCAAATTGAATTACCTGATGGTCAATTGATGAAAAGCTACTGTAGCAAATGAAAAGCGACAAATCTCCTTTGTCGAGATACCTGAATTCCCGTGACAGTTTCTAGAAGTGAGTCTCAATCACTTCTCGTCACAATACCTGAAACACTAACCTGAATTCCCGTGACAGTTTCTAGAAGTGAGTCTCAATCACTTCTCGTCACAATACCTGAAACACTAACCTATAAGGTTTGTTCAGGTCACAATATAAAATAAGGAAAAGGGTCGACGCGATGAGTTCAGTAAGATTCTTTTCCTTTCCGTAAGAAGACGGATCAATTTCACCTGAATTCCCGTGACAGTTTCTAGAAGTGAGTCTCAATCACTTCTCGTCACAATACCTGAAACACTAACCTATATAGAACAAAAGATAGAAATAGACAAGTACAAAAAGGACACTACTTGTTAGATGAAGAGAATAGAAAGAATAGACCAGTTGACTATGTATCTGACCTATAAGGTTTGTTCAGGTCACAATATAAAATAAGGAAAAGGGTCGACGCGATGAGTTCAGTAAGATCTAGCGTCGACAATGATTCAGATGAAAAAGAAAAAGATAACATCACAGTATGATAATTAGTAACAGTCATATTGAAGATCAAACTAATGGAGAGTAGAGACTATTGATGATAATGTAGTGAAGGGGTTGAACTTACTCTTTTCCTTTCCGTAAGAAGACGGATAAAGGAAAAGAGTATTAG